AGGATGAGGAGCAAAAAGGGAGGAGTAGTAGGAGGAGGATGAGGAGGAGGAGGCCTCTTGGGCGCCTCTTGGGGCACTTTTGGGGCCTCCTGGGAGCTTCCTGGGGGCCTCTTGGAGGGTTTGGGGGGACCTTCGGGGGCTTCTTGGGAGCCTCTTTGGCCGTCTTAGGGCGTTCCTGGCTTGTCTGACGCTGTCGGAAGCCGTCTTGGGGGCCTGTCTGGGTCGTCTTGGGGCCTTCTTGGGGCATACCAGGAGTTCTTAGAGGCCATCTTGGGGCCGTCTCGGAGGCATCTTGGGCCGTTTGGGGGCCCTCTTGGGGCCGTCTTGGGGGCCTTTGGGCCGTCATGAGGACATCTTGGAGGCCTCTTGGGCGATCTTGGGGGCCTGTTGCGTCGTCTTGAGCCGTCGGAATGCCGAGAAGAAGCAAATGCACAAATCCTTCAACAACCTAAGGAGAATCACTGATTTGGGCATCTTCGTGCCCTCCTGGAAGACCTCCTGGACGCCTTTTGGGCCGTCTTGAAGGCCTCTTTTGGGCCCCTTGGGCCGTCTTGGGCCATCTTGAGGCCATCTTCGGCCGTCTTGGGTGCATCCTGGGCCGTCTTCGAGGCATCTTGGGGCCATCTTAGCCATCTTCGTGGGCGATCTTGGGGCGATCGTGGAGCCGTCTTGAGCCGTCTGGAGGCCGAAAAGAAGCAAATGGCAAAATCCTTCAAAAACCTACGGAAAATCATAGATTTTGTCCTCTTCTGGCCCTCCAGGAGGACCTCTTGGAGGCCTCTTGTGCCGTCTTGGAGGCCTCTTGGGGGCCTCTGGGGCCGTCTAAGGCCACTCGGAGGCCATTTCAGGCCGTCTTCGGTGCATCTTGGGCCGTGTTGGAGGCATCGTGGGGCCACCTTAGCCGTCTTGGAGGCCATCTTTGGCGTCTTGGAAGCCTCCTGGGCCGTCTTGGGGCCCTCTTGGGGCCGTCTTGAGGGCCTCTTGGGGCCGTCTTGGGGGACTCTTGGGTCGTCATGGGGCCATCTTGGAGGCCTCGTGGGCGATCTTGGGGCGATCGTGGGGGCCTCTTGGGCCGTCTTGAGCCGTCGGAAGGCCGAAAAGAAGCAAATGCCAAAATCTTCCCAAAACCAGAGGGAAATCAATTATTTTGACCTCTTCGGCCCCTTCTGGAGGACCTCTTGGAGGCCTCTTGGGCCGTCTTGGAGGCCTCTTGGGGCCTCTTCGGCCGTCTTGGGCCATCTTGAGCCCATCTGAGGCCGTTTTGGGTGCATCTTGGGCCATGTTGGACCGTCTTGGAGGCCATCTTGGGCCATCTTGGAGCCGTCTGGAACGGAAAGACCCTTGGCAACCGGCTCCGGGCATCCTGGGCAGTCTTTTCGGGTGGCCGGCGGGACGCGCCGGAGCCTCAGGGGGGGTTGGAAAAAGAACCAAAACCAAAGCCCAGATCATTCAGCACGCCAGGCACCCCTGCGATGAATCGACAGGGGGCGGCGGAACGGCCCAAGAGGCCTCCAAGACGCTGACGATGGCCTCCAAGACGGCCCAAGAGCCCTCCAAGACGTCCTCCAAGAAGGCCCGAAAGGGTCAAAATGGCCTCCAGACGGCCAAGATGACCTTCAAGATGTCCACGTGTTCCCCGAAGGCTTTCCAAACCGATTCGGGGAACACATGCCGATAGCTTGGCACGTCTGGCCTCAACGTTCGGCCACATGGGCGCTTCCAAAACGGCAGGGGGCGGCGGTGATTCGCCGTAGGCGTCTTGGGAGCCTCTTGGGGCCGTCTTGGGCCTCTCGGGCGATCTGTGGGGGCACTTGGGTCGTCTCGGGCCGTCGGAAGGCCGAACACAAAGCAAATGCCCAAATCCTTCAAATTCATTGGAAATCAATGAGTTTGGCCTAGGCGGGCCTTCCTGGAGGCCCTCTTGGAGGACTCTCGGGCCGTCTTGGGCCATCTTAAGGCCATCTTCGGCCGTCTTGGTGGGCTCTTGGCCCGTCTGACGCCGTCGGAAGCCGTTTGGGGGGCCTCTCTGAACCGGCTTAGGGCCCTCTTGGAATGCTCCAGGGCCGTCTTGGAGGCCATCTTGGACGTCTTAAAGGCTTTCTGGGCCGTCTTGGGGTCCTCTTGGGGCCGTCTTGGGGGCCTCTTCGGCCGTTCTGGGGCCATCTTGGAGGCCTCTTGGGCGATCTTTGGGCGAACTTGGGGGCTCTTGGGCCGTCTCGGGCCGTCGGAAGGCCGAAAAGAAGCGAATGTCAAATCCTTCTAAAACCTCAGGAAAATCAGTGTTTGGGGCCTTTTCTTGCCTTCCTGGAGGCCCTCTTGGAGGCCTCTTGAGCCGTCTTGGGCCAGCTTCGAGCCAACTTCGGCCATCTCGGTGGGTTCCTGGCCCGTCTGACGCCGTCCGTCGGGAGCCGTCTTGGGGGCCTCTCTGAACCGACTTGGGGCCCTCTTGGGGCGCTTCGGTGCCGTCTTGGAGGTCATCTTGGGCGTCTTGGAGGCCTCTTGGGCCGTCTTGGGGCCCTCTTGGGGCAGTCTTTGGGGCCTCTTGGGCCGTCTTGGGGGCCATCTTGGAGGCCTCTTGGGCGATCTTGGGGCGACCTTGGGGGCCTTTTGGGCGTCTTGGGCCGTCGGAAAGCCGAAAAGGCGCAAATGCCAACATCTTTTTGACCAAGGAAACAAGCAACACCAACCTAAGGAAAATCACTGACTTTGGCCTCTTGGGGCACTCCTGGAGGACCTCTTGGGACCCTCTTGGGCCGCATCGGAGGCCTCTGGGGGTCCTTTAGGGCCGTCTTGGGCCATCTTGATGCAATCTTAGGCCGTCTTGGGTGCATCTTGGCTCGTCTTGGAGACATCTTGAAGCCATCTTAGCCGTCTTGGAGGCCATCTTGGCCGTCTTGGATCGATGCATCTTGGAGGCCATATTGGCCGTCTTGGAGCCATCTGGAGAGACAAATCATTGGCAATCGGGTCTGGGCAATCCTCCCGGGATCCCGGCGGGACGGGCCGAAGCCCCAGGGGGAGTTCTTTTGAAAAAAGAACCGACACCAAAACCGTAATAATCTAGCACGCCAGGCCCCCCTGCGATGAATCGACAGGGGGCGGCGGATCTATGGCGTTCGGATCATCCCGCCACCGTGTCTGGGTTGTGGCTCTGAGGCCTCTTGGAAGTTCGTTGGGATCTCGTTGAGGCCTCTCGGGTGCCTCCTGGAGGCTGCTTTGGAGCTTCTAGGGAGCTGTTTGGGGGCCTCCTGTTGGGGCCTCGTATGGGGGGCCTCGTAGGAGCCCTCCTGGGCCCTCCTCTTGGGGCCGTCCCGGGGCCGTCCTGGGCGCCTCCTGGGCCGCCGCCCAAGGGGCCCTCTTGGGGGGTCCCTGGCGGTCTTGGGGCGCGGCGGGGCAGGACGGAGGCTCCGACCCGCCTCCGAGACGCGACCCGCGGCCGACGAGGGGGGGGTGGCTGGCCGGCGGCCCGAGGCCGCCAGGGCGTCTTCCTCCGCCGCCTCTGGAGCCCGTGCGGGGGCGAGGGCCCGCGGGCCCACCCAGTGGCGTCGGCTCGGCCCGCGCGCTCTGGCTTCGCTCGCCTCACCTCAGCTCACCTCGCCTCACCTCGCCTCACCTCGCCTCACCTCACCTCCTCCTCCTCCTCCACCTCACCTTGCCTCACCTCGCCTCACCTCGCCTCACCTCACCTCCTCCTCCTCCTCCTCCTCCTCCTCCTCCTCCTCGCTCCTCGCTCCTCTTCGCTCCTCGCTCTTCTTCCTCTTCCTCTTCCTCCTCCTCCTCCTCCTCCTTCTCCTCGCTCCTCCTCGCTTTCTCCTCCTCCTCCTCCTCCTCCTCCTCCTCCTCCTCCTCGCTCCTCCTCCTCCTCGCTCCTCGTCCTCCTCCTCTCCTCCTCCTCATCCTCCTCCTCCTCCTCCTCCTCTTCCTCCTCCTCGCTCCTCCTCGCTCCTCGCTCCTCGCTCCTCCTCGCTCTTCGTCCTCCTCCTTTTCCTCCTCGCTCCTCCTCCTCCTCCTTTTCCTCCTCGCTCCTCCTCCTTCTGCTCCTCCTCCTCCTCCTCGCTCCTCGCTCCTGGCTCCTCGCTCCTCGCTCCTCGCTCCTCGCTCCTCTTCTCCTCTCCTTCCTCCTCCTCCTCCTCCTCTCCTCAGAGTGGGGGTCAGGTGGGGGGTCGGGGTCGGCTCTGGGCCAGGAGTTGTCGGTCGGGGGTGCCAAGGACAGAGCTCCAGGGGGATATAGATGCCAGGGCGCGGCGAGGGTCAGGGTGGAAGGTCGGCTTTTGTTCGGCGCCAGGAGTTGCCGATGTGAACATCCCAAGAGCAGAGCTCGCTCCCGGGAGGCGGGGATGCTGGGGCGCAGGTCAGGGAGGAGGATCGGGGTCGGTTCCGGGCCAGGAATTGTCGGGCAATGAGTTCCAAGAGCAGAGCTCCCAGGCGCTGGGGATGCGTGGGCGCGGTGAAGGTCAGGGTGGGAAGCCAGGGTGTGGTGTCGGGGTCGGTTCCGGGTGGGGAGGTCAGGGTGGAAAGTCAGGTTTGGAAGTTCAGGGTGGGAAGTCTCCGCAGCAAATTTCGCGTAACGAATTCGTAATTGGCCGAGGGCTTACCATTATTGTTGTCCCAGGATGACTTCCCCTCCTCCTCCTCCTCCTCCTCGTCCTCCTCCTCCTCCTTCCCCTTCTCCTTCTCCTCGTTCTCCTTCTCCTCCTCCTCCTCCATCTCCTCCTCCTCCTTCTCCTTCTTCTCCTCCTCCTCCTCCTCCTCCTCCTCCTTCTCCTCCTCCTCCTCCTCCTCCTCCTCCTCCCTCTCTCTTCTCGACTTGGTCAATGGCCGCGACAGCCAGGCTCCACGACGACGACGACGACGACGACGACGACGACGACGACGACGACGACGACGACGACGACGACGACGACGACGACGACGACGACTACGACGCCGAATACAGGGCGGCGGCAGCGGCGACGGCGGCGGTGGCGGCAGTGGCGGACGACCCCTTCGGCCGCCAGCAGGACCAGCGCGGGCTCTCCCACCGCGAGGACCATGGGGTGCGGGGGCGTGGGGCGCCGGCCGCTGCCGCCCGCGCGTCTCCGGCCCCCCCCGCCCCGCCGTCCAGGGGGGCGGGGCGAGAGAGGAGGGCTAGCCTTATCTCGGGCCTGTCCCTCTACAGGGAGAATGTTCAAAACTAGTCAACAAAAATCCGGGGGGCATTTTTTCACTTGTTGTTCAACAATATGTTGGGGTATTGTTGGAGTCTTTTTTTTTTCGTCCAAGGGGACAGGCCCAACTTAAGGCTAGCCGAGGAAACGCAAGCGCGGAGCAAGGCGCGTGGATTGGCGACGGGTGCCGCTTCCATGCCGTAGCGGCGGCCTCCGTCGCCAGATCAGGCTGCAGTGGCGCCCTCTTGCGGGTGTCAGACTCCCCGATCCGCGGATCCGGCGCCCGGGTCCTTAATCCATCTCAGCGTGTGCTCGAGGGGGGAAGAGATACTATGGTGGGGGCATTCGTTAAGGAATAGTCCCAGGAGGCGCCAGACCCTGGAGGATCCCTTATCCGATGAGGGCGGCGGTGATATCCGTGGCCGATCCACGATTGGAGTTCCACTGGTTTCCAGACCCTGGGTTCCTTGTTGGGGGTTTCCTTGTCCGATGCCATCACCGTGCTGCGAGGGAGAGAGCTGTACCTGTTGGGCCGGACGAAGGGGGGGGGATTGGGAAAAGGGGGGGGTACGAAATCTGCTGCATGCAGCTGGTTTCGGCCCCACCGAGGGGCCCACTCCTCGACACATAGCCGCCTCCGGCGCCTGGAAGCGCCGGGAAAATCAGCTGCGTGAGCTGATTCTCAAAGATCCCCTTTGCTATCCCCCCCCTTCCGCCCGGCCCGAACCTTGAGCTGCGCGCTCGCGGCCCCCATCCCCCCGCCAGGGCGGGAGCCACTCCGCGCTCCGCGCGCGTGCCAGCACCCCGCGGGGCCGTCGGCGCAGGCATGGGCTCCCATCGCTGCCAGGGAGCGAGGGCTGGCGGGTGGTGGTGGTGGTGGAACTCTGCGTCTTGTCGGAACCGACGTACAGTGGCCCTTATAGTGGGCCGGCTCGGACCCGGCCTGTAGCCGGGTGGAGGGTGGTGTGGCGGGCCCGATCCCTTGTCAGGCCCTTCCGAAGATTGGTTGGGCCCAGGCCGACCCGCTCCTTGGCAAGTCCGCCCGAGCCCCGCAGGGGCTCTCCTGCATGGGGCAGCCCTCTGGGGCTCCCCACGCGAGTCGCAGGTCAAGGCCCCTAGAGGCCCACGGTCTACGGCGTTCTTGCCGTATCCGCTGGGCCCTGGCCTTATTCTCGGCAATCCTGCGCCGCTGGGTGTCGGTAAGAGAGGGGCGAGGAGGGAGAGGCGGAGGCGGAGGCGGAGTCGGGGACCAGAGGAGGGGAGAGAGACCGATCACCTCAGCGGCGTAGGCCTCCTCCTCAGTGGGGCCCTGGCTGTCTTCAGGATCCTGGGAGGGGCCTGGGGGGTCCTGGCCAGGCGGGCCCGGGGCCTCAAAGCGGCCCTTCTCAGGGTCAGGCCTGCTGCGGCCCTTTCCCTTCGCAAAATCAGGGGCCCACTCCCTGGCCCCGTCCTCCGACGTAGGGATCTCTGAGACATAAAAGTCCGCCAGGCCCTGCACAAGGAGGTGGTGAGACTGGGATTCATCCCTGGGCGCGTCCGGGAGCGCAGCATCGAGAGCCGATTCGAGCGTCTCTAGAATGCTCTCGGCGATGCTGCGGCAGAGGCCCGGGGGGTAGACCTTCTTCCGCGCGGTCCGGAAGGCCCTGGACCCTACCTCGCGCCCTAGGAGAGTGGCGTGGGCCGCTCGCCCGTGGGAGCATTTTCCTCCCCCAGGCGTCGCAGTCAGGCGACTGTGCAGCCCCGCCATGCGGAGCCCGAAAATTCTGGTCGGGGCCCTGCTCAGCTGGCCGTGCTCGCACTGGTCGAAGTCCGTGGTCGTGGTGCACGGCGCCGACAGCAGCGCGAGCCACGGCTCCCATGTCCACGATGTGACGGCCGCCAGCCGCCAGCTGCACGGGATGGGGTGCTCCGACCACCCTGCCGTGCCTGCCACCAGGTGCGCCGCAAGGAGGAGCACTGGAGCACCATGGACTGCATCAGGGCATTCCCCACGGCCAGCTGGATCCTCTGCCGTGGTGCAGCGTGCGCCACTCCCCAGAACTGGTCGTGGGACCTGAGCGGCGGTGGGCCTGGCTGCTCTGACCATCTCGCCGCACTCCATGTCTCACATGGCGGTCCTCCTCCCGTCATCACGATCTGCCTCTTCAGGGTCCCCTCGTGGAAAACCATCAGGCTGTCCTGTCGCATGAGGTCGCAGCGCTGAGCGTCGATCGCCGCGTCGATGCTGAGGACCATGATGTGCACCTTCTCCGACATCACTTCGAACTTCGGCGCTGACTCGAACACATGTTGAATGTCCTGCTTGCGCCTGTGCCCGCAGAATAGGTTGAGTACGTAGATCTCTGCCCTTTGTATCCTCCACGGTATCTTCACCACCGTGGTGATCCCGCTGTACTTGTCGGTGCGGAACTGGTTCAGGTCGTACCTTTCGTCTTGCTGAACTTCCGGCTTCTCCTGGGGTCTTTTTTCTGAGCCCTCCTGAAGCGTGGCCCTGGCAGCGTCATCGAGCACGTAGTCTGCCTCGAGCAGGACCTTCTTTGCATCTTCTTGGCTGAGGGATACCACGTCTGGCAAGGGCCCCGCTGCCTTGATCGCGGGTATGTTCACTCTCTTCCTCAGCAGGCCTCGTGGGAGCTCGTTGCGCAACTCGCCCTCCTCACTGCCAGGCGCCTCTCCCGCGTCAATGGTCGCGACGAGGCAGGCAGGCGATGCAATCGCCAGGTGCTCGGTGAGGTGGTGGGTCTGGTCGAACAGCGTCAGGCAAGCTTGGCACTGCGTTGCTGAACCCGTCCAGGTACGTGCTAGCCTGACCATGGTCCAGTGCTGCTGTGAGATCCTGAACGTCCTCTGGCACCACGGGCATGTCCATTGTCTCGTCGACGCTGTGTCTGGCTCGTCTGCCTGCGGGGGCCCGAAAGGGCTGCCTTCCCTTGTGGAATGCGGCACTCCCGCTGGCTGCACTATGGCGAAGAAGCGCTTCTCTGCCATGCGCGCCGCGTGACCTCTGCTCAGCTGTGCTGCCGCCGCCTTGAGCGTGTCGTTGAGCCTGTACTTCCACGAGGAGTGCGAGCGTATGATCATCATCTCCCAAGGCCTCAGCTCATCACTGGGATCCGGGAGGTCGTGCAGGTCCGCCGAGTAGCCTTGCAGCCAGCGGAGGTCCCCCATTAACATCTGCGGCCAGGACTGCCTCTCGGCATGTGGGCCATCGTCGCGAAAGCGAGGGGTGGTCCTGCTTGCAGTAGTTCGCCGAAAAGCCTTAGCCTCGCTACTCTCAGCAGGTCCTCCGGCCGAGCCCTTCCCACCTTGGCGAGCAGTGCCTCATCTTCTGCCTCTGGGTAGGCGTCGGGGTCCAGCTCGCCGTCCTCCTTGGTGGCGAACTTTTTCTCCACCGCCGCCCTGTAGACTGCCATGACCATGGCGCGGTGATACTTGGCCTCCACCCTCGTGAGTCCTGGCCAGCTGCCTTGTGAGAAGCATCTCGACGAGCATACTAGGGCGTCAGCGAATACCATCTTGGTAGGCAGGTCCAGCTGGTGGCTGCGGAAGACCTTCTCTCTCAGCTTCCTGAGAGCGGCTGTAGTGGTGGCTGCGCGGCGGTAGAGCTCGGGGTACACCGCGCCGTGGTCATCGATGACCGTCCCCAGCGCCACGTGGTTGTGCACTGCGTGGATGACGGCTCCCATCGTAGTGCTTCGACCTGAGCTTGACCCTTCCATGGCACTCATGCCATAGGGTCCTCCTCGCTCCCTTCGCCCCTTGACCTGCGAAGGCAAAGGGCACCTCCGATTTGCCAGGGCCAAGGTTGAGGACGAGGCCGAACTCCGCGAACGTGTCCAGCACAATGCCCGCGATGACTGCCACCGCATCCATCGCCTCCTCAGCCTTGCCGATGAAGAAGAATGTGCCGTCGTCCGCAAAGGCCACGCTGTGGCCTGGTATCTTCTCGAAGTCGAGGTCGCTGTCGAGCTGCTGCGCCAGCGAGCGTACGTTGGCACCTGTGGCAAAGATGCCGTAGCCCTCCTCCTTGATCCTCGCCTCTGAGATCCTGATGGCCTCCGCCATGGCGATCTCGTAGATCTGGTCGGCGAGAGGTTGGCCTGGGATCGAGGACTTGGTTCCCAGGGCAACGTGGTCTGAGCTCTCGCAGACGAACCATGAGGCCGTGTACTGCTCCTCGACCAATGCCTTCAGATGCTCACTGGCCTCCGTACGGTGGAGCAGCGGCATCTCCTCCTCCAGCTTCTTCTTCAGGATCTCCAGGGCCGTGGGCGGGACGGCCGTGGACTCGGCGATCGCGTCCTTGTCTGCCTTGGCCATGGGCGTGCGCAGCACCAGCTCCCTGGCCATGGAGTAGAATGCGTTCTTGACGCCCATGAAGATTGCCGCGAAGGACTGCATGTTGGCGGACGCCGCTGACTGCAGCATCCTGGTGACCACAGACGCATGCTGAGTGCCTCTGCGCCTGACGCCTCCAAATTGGCGGTCTCCAACGGCTTGTGGCAGGTACTCCGCCACCTTTGACCTGTAGAAGTGCCTCACCCTTTTGCCCACCATGGCCGTGACCGCGAAGCACCTGTGGTTGCCGCACTCTTCGGCCTGCTTTTTCTTGTGGTGGTGTCTGTAGAAGCCTCCTTTCCATTGTACTGGCTCCACTCCTGTGCAGGCAAACTTGGTTGCCAGTGGGTGGTAAGCCGCCGCCAGTGTCTTCGGCTGTGTGCGGAAGAGCTCCCCCATCAGGCCGTCGACCCCTGGCGCTGAGTCCTTTGTGATCTTCATCGCACGCTCCATGTCCGCCAACGTCGGGACGCAGCTGGGGTCGAGTACGTCTGGCATCAGGCTTCCCTTCTCAAACTGCGCCTGCATGAGCTTGTGGAGGT